AGACCAGAGCAGGACCAGGACACCCATCAGGATGATGGGACTGAAGCACCAGAAGGGGATCCAGAGAGAGGTGAGATCCTGGACAGTGCAAGCCCACAGCAGGACAGAAATACCCATAAGACTGCAGAGAGTGAGACACCAAAACGGGACCCAAAAACCCACGAGGCCCACGAAACTGAGGCACCAGGGCAGGGCTCAAACCACCATCAGAGTGCAGAGACGGAGTCAGCAGAGCAGGACCTGAATTGGCCCTCTGAGACACGAGGAAGAGACCCAAACAACAAGACCCAGGTCTGCGAGGCCCCTCAGCAGGACCCCAACCCTGGCAAGACCCAGAAGCAGCTGCCCCCACAGCAGGGTGCAACCCCCCATTGGGATCCCAAGCCCCAAGCAACGTGCCATGACCCAGCTTGCCGTGAGCTCCCTGAACCCAAGGTGCTGGAGCAAGAGTACAGCGGGGCAGAGGCTCCGTCTTGTCGAGCACAACAGCAACAAGATGCTCACCACCACAGACAGCCCGCTATAGAGCAACAGCTCCTGCAGCCACTGTATCAGTGGCCACCACAGCAGTAAAAACTGGAAAAAGCCCCCGTCTAAGTGAGGCTGTTGCCCCTGCAACATGTTGTCTGGTCCCACTCTTTTTTGCATTTCTATTTGTCATGTCTTGTCCAATTCCTTATTAACCCTGGGCTTCACAGCCCTCGTTTGTACCGAGCTATGCATGACTAGAGACCCTTCCTCTACATCTGTGTTCGGGCTGCCTCCGCCTGTGTAAGCAAAGCAATAAAGCTGAAAGCAAAACAGCAGAGCGTCCCCGCGTGTTGCTGCAAGCGTGCCTTCATCCTAGCTCTGAGCAAACACCCAAGTTGACGTGATGTGGTACAGAGGACCTGAGCATCCATTCCTTGCATGACATATGGCCAGGTTGCTCCAGGGGGCAGATGGAGGGATGGCTGCAGAGAGGCAGGTGTGTCCTGGGGGTGGAGAGCCTAAAGGAGCTGCTGCTCAGCTGCCTTTGCCATTTAGCCGAGGTGAATCCATTGCTCCCTGCGGGCAGCGATGTGACATCCCTGTGAGAGATGTCTTCAGAGGGGGGAGAAGTCTGGATGAACACAACAGCACAGCCGACCTGAACAGATTCCTCACAGCATCCATCTGCTCCGGGTGTTTTTCATGTCTGCTGTGAAAAGAATAAACAGCTGCTTAACACTGAATGGGAGGGATTTGTCCTATTTAACCTCACTTAGTAATGATCTCAGAAGCAAGGGGAATGCGGAGCATGCTAGGAAGATCCAAAATCCTTATTAACTATGGAAGTCTCCAAAGGAAGGAGTGGAGATATATTAAACCCAGGAAAAATGATGATTCAGGTACATCCAATCCCAGCAACAACTGGGAGGCCGGAGATAAAAAGCTGACATGCAAAACGTGCAACAAACGGAGCCAATCTCAAACTCCGATTGAGTTCAGGCAGTTCAAGGTACGAGGTCCTCGGGCACTTGGCCAGACGTGCACATAGGAATGTGGGTAACTCCGAGGGCATGAGCAGTCCGGTGAAATCAGTGGGGTTTATTAGGGGGTTCAGACGCGCTGGACCACCAGGCAAGCCCAGGACTCAGCATCCCGCAGGGAGGGTGATGCTCAGCCTGTTTTTCACCGTGCTATCTTTCACTTGTGACCTATCAGCAAAATCAGCACACGATAAATGCACCCGCACCTCCTGCTCTGTGGCCGGTGACAAGCAACACGCAGAGACCTCACTGGAAAATAAAACGTCATTCCTCTGGGACACCCCAGAATTTCACAATTTGCTAAGCGCTGAATCAGAAAAACCAGCGTTTCAAAACTATCCCCAGAATGTACATCACAAAAATGATTCGTTTTAAAAGTGCTAATGACAAAATTAAATGTATTGGACACAAAGTACACCAGTCTGCTTTATTACTGGTAAAACACATTAGCAATAGTAAGTTCTGACCTACCTCAGGACAGCTGTGGACACGCAATGGAAGAGTCAAGACCTAAATTTCATCACCTATCCGTCAAAACCCCATTCCATCTGAGACGTTCCTCAAAACATTTCATTTTCCAGAGAACTCCATTTTTCTTGTAAAATAGGTCTAGGTTAGAGATTTGTCCAATAGCTCTTTGCTTCTTATTAGCTCTGGCTTAGGGTCTAAAACCACCAAGACCCCACCACCCTGCTGTAGACTGTCCATCAGCTCCCACCTTTTCCAGCATCAACAAAAAACTGACCTCCCAGTTCGGGCAGGCACTAAGCCCTGTTAGGGACGTGTTAAATATATGCTTTTTTCTGAATAACAGTACTTTTGGCATCAGGAGTATCAAATTTGAAGTTAAGAGGGGTTTTTTGGTTCATTTTAAGGAGAACACGAAATTATCCCACTGACACAAATACCTGTCTAAGAGTCCTGAAAGCCTGGGAGGTGTTGGAAGAGAAAAGGTCTTTTATACACCATACGAGGAGCCCAGCTCCTCTAAGATTAAACACAACAGAAGTTCCATCACCCTATATAAACGGTGACAAGGATGGGCACAGAATTGGGTAAGAAGCAGGAGGACAGAGGTCACCCTCTTGGGTAACAGCTTTTAAAAACCTACCCAAGTCCTGTCTTATGAAAGCATCTTCAGGGAAAACCAAGCCCTTGGAGAAAAGGGGGTTTCAGTGCTGCCAAGAACGTGCTTTGAAACTCACGGCTTTGTCTTGGGAACGGCAGCAAAGCACGGGAAAGCTGGCAAGAATGCCAACGTACGTGCGCACGGCCGAAATGTGACGTACCTTTTCCTACATTGATACCCGAACGCTGCCCTACGTCTTACGCGGCCCCGACCATCCTGCACTGCCCCAGCCCCTGCGGGGGGGATTACAGACTGTTACAGGACACCAAACCGCACTGTAATACTCTAATTTTAATAATAACTCCAATCTACCATAAAATTACAGCTTCCCAAGGGTATTATTATCCCACAGGTGGGGTATAATTTGCACAAGTATAATTTAATCTTGAAAAAAAGCTCAAAAATGAAGTATGGTTAGTAACAAGCCTTCGTACGCACTTGTATGAGTATCCCCAAGGTGTTACCAGCACTAATTAATTAGGCTCCTACACCCAGTATGATCTTACCTTGCAGATAGGCCAGATGAGCCACTCACCCAAGGCTGCGTGACAAGTTCATGCTCTGAAGGCTCTCGGCAATGTCTCCGTCGTGCTCGTCAAGGCAGCATCCTTCCTCCAAAACCAAAAGCAGGGGTCCAGGTGGCACGGCTGGCATCCTCCTTCTTCGTTCTCTGTACTGGGAGAGTTCAGGGTGAATACAGGAATCAGCTGGTTTCTAATTAATTTACCATTAAAAGATTAAAAAAAAGGAAGATTGCAGAGGTAATTACAGCAAAAGCTGCCTAGGGCAACCAGATGAAGATTCAACATGAATCGACCTCTCAGCAGAGAGGCTTCCGCTTTTATTTTTAATTAAAATCAAGCAAAGTTGAAATGAAAGTCATTCATGGAAGACAATTAATAAGAAAAATGTTTTATCGTGGTTTTTCTCAATGGAAGTCATAGTTTATTGAACAGACTTTTTTTTCGTGCAAAAATTCATTTTACAAATGAATATTCTGTTTGTGGTTGGGTTTTTTCCAACAAAAACCTGGGTAATATAACAAAAAGACTCCTTAATAAGCAGTTACCAAAAATAAAACACTCTACAAGGACACCAGACAAGCCAAGATCTGGAGGATGTGGAGATCTCGCCGCTCTGCACCTGCATTTCACCATTTTTGTAGCACTTAGGTCTTCTTCTGTCCTTCTGTGAGCGAAAGCCAGACCCAAACCCCATTGACCTCAGGGCCAAGGTGCCGAAGGAACTGCACAAAAAGCATACAAAATAATCCCTGGTATTGCGGTACCAAGCTCAGAGGCCGTACAGATCTCAGCTGTCCCCAATCCGCTCATAGTGAGCTCTGCTACCAACAGCACTTCTGTCCCCATCCTCAAAATTTCATTCTGGTACTATTTTTATGTGTACGTCTGTGTATTATACGTATATAAATTCAGACCTATGAAGACACGTATTTATATAAAAATACACCTTCCCATTAACGCATATGTATGCTTTATAGCTACTCTAGGTTTTTTAAAATCTGAAATACAATCAGCCTGTAAAATAACTTTACGGTCTGGATTAGCTGGAACCAGCCAGTGTCTTGAATTGCCACATGGCAACTGCTATTTCTGGGTTAAAATGATAGGTAAGGGGATGATAAGTTAAATAACCCGTTTGAGGACGTGAAGGTACAGCTGGGCTTGGCCAAAGATGAATCAGGACAATGTCCACAAAGGGTGTCTCCTTTCTGTAGCTCCGTCAAGGACCCTATAAAAGCACTCAGGTCCTCCGATCATTCCGCACGGCTTCACAGGAATCGCACTTGATCCCGTTGGTGATTTGGGTAAGTGACTCCTTCTGAAACGTGCCTTTTGCTGGGCAAGGACATGTTCTTTCTGTAGGATTCAAGTTGGGTGGCAGCGTCATTCTTGCCGCAGTATTTTCTGAAAGGCTTTTGCATTTACATCCAGCGAAGGGTTGCTGTGTGTTATTCGGGATACCCGCACGCTGTCATGCGTCCGTGTGTAGAGGCAGCTTTTCTCAAAGGGAAAATGGGAGAGGGAGCCAGGTTTTGTGCCTCACTTTGGTCTGGAGTCAGCTCCCAGCCAGAACGAACAGATTGGAGAAATTTTCTGTTTTCTACAGAAATACCAAAAAGCAGGATTTTGTATGCAGAGGTGCGCACATCTGTTCATGCGTATGTGCATGTTATAGCCGCAAGCTGAGGTCTCAGCGTTGATGTACGTGATGGCAGGCTTGGGGATCCTGCAAGGAGGAAGGAAGGAGGTGGCACGTGAGGCTTCCAGGCACAAAGCTCCAACAGGAGCATCGCTTTCTGCCAAGTCTCAGTAAAATTAAACAAGTAGCTCTGCCCTAGGTGATCGGACAGTTCCTCTCTGCCCAAAATCTATTCGCCAATGAGCCGATGCTGTAAGGAAAGCTTTAGCAATTGTTTTGCATTACTGCTGGTCACAGGAGTATCGGTCACAGAGCTTGTTTTAACTCCCTGTAAGCTCCCTCTCTGTCTCTGACCCAGATAGATCTTGTCTCAGACTATGCCAGCGCTGCGTTAGACATCCTCTAACCTGCGTCACAGAGGACAGTGTACCTCGGTGCCAGGCAGAGATAGCAGTGTGGGTCCTGGAAACATAAGTACCTGGTATAGCCCCATAGGGATGGGTTCTTGGGGCATCTCTTGAGTCACCATCCCCAGTTCCCTCCCTGTGACCCATAAATGCAGGCACCCTGCCATCCCCTATCAAACATCATTCAAATACGTCAGTAGACAAGTTGGAAGACACTCCCCATCCCACTAAAACCCCTGAGTATTTGAATTTCTTCCCAGTGCTTTGGTGAAACAGAGCTCGCCGTGGCACAGGAACAGACACACCACACGTGGTACCCAGCGTCCCATCAACACACCACCCTGACCCCAGCATTTCTCCCTCCTCTTTCCATGCTCAAAGGCAAGCAAATCTCCCATCCTTAGGTCTGCTCCTTTTCTTGCAGGCTTTCTTGAATCTGCAGGAAGATGTCTCACTTCTTAGACAGCATTTCCACCATCATCAGCGTCTTTCACAAACATGCAAAGGAAGACGGAGACTGTTCCAGCCTCAGCCGAAGGAAGATGAAAGAGTTCATCCAGAGGCAGTTTGCAGATGTCATAGCTGTGAGTGCCGCTGCGAGGGGGAGGGCGTGAGGCCAAGATTGGAGTGCAGGGACTGCAAAATCTCCTTCTAGAGAGGGAATGGTTCTTAAGACAGCGGGATGGGAAGGCTTACAACAAAGAGGAGCAGCAGTCGCGTTCCTTCGCACCGACTGCTTCGATAACTCTTCCAATCCTTTTTGCCATGAGCAAGTGGGCAAAAGCTGGAGGATGAACCATGGGGAGGTACGGTTTTCTTTCAAAGGCAGGAGGGAAATGTATTCAGTAGAGGGATACAGCATATCCCAAAGAGAGGAGAGTTGGTTAGCTGCAGCCAGGGAAGAACCAGGAAAACGGAGAACAAAGACATGGAGTTGTTGCTGAGCTATAAAAGTGAAGGTGTGAGAGATGGAAGGAGAAATGATTGCAGTTATCCCTGTCTTTGCACTTCTCTGACAAGGAGCAGGAAGGCTAAAATCCTTTTTTTGCTTCCCTGTGTGTGTTTTCCCTGCAGAAGCCATATGACCCTCAGACGATTGACAAGATTCTGCAGTTTCTGGAGTGGGATGATGACGGGGAAATAGATTTTAATGAGTTCCTGCTTTTGGTGTTCAGAGTGGCTAAGGCCTGCTACTGGTACCTGCCAAAGGGACCATGCCTTCTGCAAAGAACAAAGCTGACAACCAGTGGCCAGTCACTCCGAGAGTCTGAAATTAAGAACAGAGGGAGCCATCGGCAGCTCCAGGAGGAGGAACACCAAACCGATGACCGTAACGATCATCCCCACTGTGAACCTGAGTTGCAACGAGACACCAGGGTCAACGAGCTCGAAACACTAGAGAAAACGGGGAGTCATCGCCAGCAACACAACACACAAAGCAGAAAGGATGCAAAACGAAGCAGCGAACGAGGGGAGCCAATCCCTCGGGTATACGAAGAACGAAGCCAAGAGCCACGCGACCAAGGGAACAGTCAGAGAAGACGTCAGCCACCAGAGCCAGACAGACGTGGAGATGTACAACTCTACAAAAATGGCAGTTTGCGAGGACGTGAGCCCGGACTGCAGGGAGATGAGAGGCAAAATCAAGAGGGGCCTCAGCCAGAACTGGCAGACGTGAAGAGTCGCAGCAAAACCTGTGAACCTCAACCACTGCAAAACCGGTGGAGTAGCCATCAGTCACATGAGCCAGCACGACCGGCGTATGATCAAAAAAGCCAGCGGCCACAAGAAGCAGATAGAGCAAGTCACAATCAGCCACGTAAACCTGAATTACTCACAGAAGAGAGAAGCCGCTACCACCTACGTGAGCTGGAACAAAAAGCACTTGAACACAGCAGCCACCAGCCACGTGAGCCTGAACGTCTGGACTCAAGACACCCACATCAGGCATACATAGAGGAACCGCTAGACCTTGACCACAGGTACTACGAGATCGATGAGTCAGAAAGAGGTACATACGAACAAGGAAAGAACCAGGACCATGAGCTTCAATATCAAGAAAGTAGGAGACACATCGATCATGTTCAGGAGTGGGAAGAACTAGATGAAGCAACTAGGAAAGAGCCCATGCGGGAGAGGAGGATGGATCGCCAACGGGAACTGGAGCTGGAGGGCTATGAGCACCGCAGTGGCCAGACACGCGAAAGGAAAGACCAAGGTGCCACAGCCACCCAGAGAGAGACACGTGAGGGACGGGACTATCAAACACGTGAGCCCAGAGACGATGGAAGGAGACAACATGAGCCAGTGAGGTACGAAAGGACAAGAG